TATTGTGAGGGTACAGTTTTCATTTATACTTGAAGTCATGATAATAATCTGCCATTTTTCTGTGCAAACTCCTTCCTCTGGCGGATCTCCATTTAGTTAGCTGCTCCATCTGGCTCTCTGCAGCCCTCCTGTTCCCAGTGGCCTATCTGCTGGCTGCCTCACCGGCACCATCGATGGGGGCCTCTGGAGCCTGGTGTGCCTCCTCCCTGCACTCCTGCTGCTCTCAACTTCTGTTAAAGAGTGTGACTTTGTGGAGATACTGCTGTTAAAGGCAGCTCTGGCTATTGGTATCAGACCTGCCAGAAACTCAGTTTACTAATCTGTGAAGTGGGAATAAGAATAGTCTCTCTCTTTTGTGAGGGTTACATAAAATAATAAAATAATATATGGTAGTTGAAAGTAACTGTTGGAATGTCCAACTGTAGCATGTGTTCAGTCCTTGTCCCTTTATTCCTCCTTTTCTCATTATTTTGTTTTGGTAGGTCTTTCTTCTTTTCCTTCCCCTCTCCATCTATCCAGAACATTACCACTGAATTAATTTTCTCATAGCATCAGCTCATTCATTTAAGCAGTACCAGTGCCCATGAACAGAGTATTAATTTGCTTGAGGTTCTCTTATAGGGCTGCAGACTTGGTCTCACACTGGAGACTGTTGTCATCACTGGTTGACACATCTTTCCCATCTCTTCACTGCCCTCACTGCCACACTCAGAAGGTCGATCTTCTCAGCATGGCTTTCATGGTTCTCCCTGAAGTGGCCCAGACCACACCAAATTGAACTCACCAGCTGCCAAGCTCACAGCTGCCCTGACTTCCAGGACACTCACTGCCCACTCTTTCCTCTGCAGGTGCCCTCCTCCCCTTCTTATCTGTTGACTGCCTATCTGTCCCTGGACCTCCCTGCTCTTCAACTGACTCGTGTGTGAGGCCTTGCCCTATCCCCAAGAGGGGTGTGTTGAGTTTCTGCCTCACTTCCTTCAGGTGCTTCTTAGGGGACTTACTATGTTCTACATGGGCTCATTGGCTCTTTAGGTATACCTTGCTTCAGTCTACTACACTCTGATCAACCCAGGAAAAAACACTTCTCTTCCCAACCTCAGCAGGTCATATGAGGACCTCACTCCTGCAGTCACTCTGGGACACGTCTGCTGATGGATAAAAGAAAAAGTTTACTCATTTTGCTGAGCTTGGAAACCAGCATCCTCCTACACATGAAAGCAACTGTTGTAAAATGAACAATTACTTATCAGCAGACACACCAACACATCTCGTATGGGCTGTGGAAAAGTCATGGCCATGCTATCTGCTCTTAGTAAGAGTCCAGTGCAGACATTTCCTCCCACTCCCGTGAGTGTGCCTGTTAGATTCCACAGGACTCTTTACTGAGGACAGTGACTGGTTGTTCTTGCATCACCAGGTGAGAACTAAACAGCCAAGGGGATACTCTATTTCTGATCAGAAGTTTCTGGGAGATAGCTTTTTTTTTTTTTTTTACAGAAGACTTTATAATTCTTTGTGTCTTCCAAAGAACAGAAAATTGAATGGCAATTGCTTTGCATTTCTGGGTTTGTCCAAGGAGCCTGTCAAGATGGCAACCTCTGTTGTATTTATTTCCTGGATCTTGGTTCAGGGCTGTGAGTCTGTAAGAATCCGGTGGTAAGCCTCTTCAGGAAAAATCTTGGTTGAAAGTCTGACATAACAAAATTGGTTTTGCCTGTAATTTGTGGACAGCTCTGGCAGCCCCTCTAGGGCATTGAAGAGAGCACTTTATTTGTGCATGGGAGCCTTCTTCCTGAGCTCCTCCTGCTGCGGGGGTGGGGGGTGGGTTCCACTGGATCTACTTCAATAAAGGTTTTTGCTGGGTCTCTTTTCTTCCTGTCATTCTTCCACAGGGGGCAAAGATTCTCTTGTTTCCCTAAAGGTCAGACTATCAGGGACAGTGACTGATTGTTCTCCTATCACCAGCTATGCACTGATTTTGGCAGCGTGGGACATGGTTAGCAACTGGTTAAATCACAGTTCTGATGATCAAAATGACCTATGTGCTTGAGACTCGGTGTTAGCCTTTTGAGTCCCCTGTCAGTCCATTGGCCTGATTTACCTTTGGAAGGTGATCCCTAAGGTCACTCATAATTCACAAGGCTACTCCTGTGTGTGGAGAGAAGGCCCCCTGAAGCCTGTGAGGGCCACTGAGGGAGTGGATTTGGAATACGTCCCTTGGTCATGCTGGTGGAGGAACAGGATGTCCAGGAGGCCTCTTCCCAGTCACCAGGAGAGGCATCCAGCTGGAAGGGGCTGGGTGACACACCAGTGCCACCTCACCCAACTTCCTTCCCTCCCCCACTCCTTGGGGCCGACTTGCTTCCTAACTGCTGTGCCTCTGCCTTTCCTTTCTTTCAGAACCCAAGACCCTCCTATTTGTCCTTTAATACCCTGCACAAGTCACTTCCCCCTTTCTGACTGGTTGCTGCAACCCTGGCAGATTCCGTCTTTTCCTCTGTAGGTTCCAAAGTGTTTCTGTCTACCTGTGCATAACATTTATCACTCAGCAGTAAAATTACTCATGAACATTCTTGGCTTCTTAATGGAACCGCCCCTTTATGCTTCTTGGTATCTGCCCCAGAGCCTGGCAATGGGCATGGCAGCCAGAGGACATTCACTATGGACCGAATGAGTGAATGGAGGAGTCCAGACTTTTGGGCCTAAAGTATAGCTTTTATAAGATCACAAACCATCTGTTGGGAACTTGTTTATTAGATGATTTAGCTATCTGTGGTTTTATGCAGATGCTTTTATAGTCTCCTTTAGTATTTAAAAAATTCTTTTTAAAATGACCAGTATTTTAATCATGTTGCAATAGGGCCCCCTAAAAAGAGGGGGCCCTCCTTGCTCCATCCCAGTACAGGGCAAGGGCACCCTTTCCGGAGCCAGCATGCAGTGGGGGAACCCTAGCAAGACAGAGCAATGGCCTGTTCTTCCTTCATTGCATATATGAGTTTATGAGACTTTTTTCCTAATGAAAGTTGTCCCCTTACCATTGGTGTTTCAGGTGGCAAGCAGGCCATTCCATGCATCTGTGTCCTCATGAGCATGTTTTATTCCAAGGAATTCTCAACTTGTGATGCGAAGAGAGAACTCCCAGCAAGTCCATTTATCATAGGACTGGAGTAAGTGAAAGGTAATCCTTTTTAAAATGTGAGTTATGGAGCTTTGTAATGTGCCATTTATCTATGTCTGTGTGGAAAGGAAGAACACCAGGGCAAGTTTATTACTTAAACAGACTGTGCTCTCTATTGTGTTTAGGGCCCCATTCCCTGAACAGCACACAGTAATATTCATACATGACAAATTTTGATGAAAACATTGATTAAGCACCCAGAGTTGCTTGTTACCAAATGTAGAGTAGGTATTTGAGCACATACTTGGCAAGCAAGCTATTTAATTATTAGGCTTCTGTGTCTATTTAAACCCATCTTGCTTTAATGTTTAATATCTAATGTATGTGAGGCATATTTTCTTGGAAGAAAGCTGAACAGCTTTGGAAATTGGACATCTTCTAGACCTCTTAACCAGTCAGGAAAGTTTTAGAAGGATAAATGGGATCAACCATAAATTTGAAAGGCCTCAATAAAAAAATGAAAGGAAGGACTCTTACATTTCTTTTCCCTCCACTAAAAATGGTATTGATGTGTATCCACAAATCCTAGCTGAATGGAACAAAATGGCACTATTTGTAGTCACACAAAATGGGTAACGCACACAATATTTAGCTCCTAGTTTAAGAAGTCGATATAAACCAGAGAGAGAAAACCCATTGTCTCCAGAAATTCCTCTTTTTATAAAACTTGCAGTAGCTATTGCATGGACAGATGGGACAAATGACAAGGTTGTCCTCATGTATTTGAGGTTATATCCCCTGATAGCATTCACATTTCTAGGACTAAAGACAACAAAGGTTTATTCAGCATCTCTCCTTTAGCTCCCCACATCTCACATGTATTCTAAGGGCTTTCTTTGATGTTTAGCAACAAGGTGAATGTTACATGTCCACTTGGAAGACACTGGTGTTCCTAGAGTTCTTATCATAGTCCCAGGTACATAGTAGGCATCCAAACCACGTGGCTCAGTATAAAGGGAAACATGGACAGGACCTTCAGGAGGCTGTGGTTTAAACTCAGATTGGCAATGAGCATTTGGTCCTATCTACTTCCTAAGACATAAATGAGTCAAGGCTTAGGAGAGGCACAGGGGTGCAGACCCATGAGAGGGGTTTTCAGTCCTTCCTTTGTAATTGCTGTCCTGTTCAGTCCACCACACCACACGACCTAAAGGGTACAGCCACTGCCACCACTCTTCCTAGTGGGGGAGGATTGGGTTGGACAGTCCCATGGTTTCCGCAGTCACTTCTCTGTATTCTGATTTAATTATTTTTATCAGACATGTTGAATTATACCCTTCTTCTTCCATTATGGTGAATGCTTAAAATTACATTTATATGAAATTACGTTTACACAAACTTCTATTAAAAGCCAATTTCAGGCTTAAGGTGTTGGCCAAATCCATTAAAAATGAGTATTAATTAGTTGAGCTGATTAAAAATACCTTCATCAAAGTAGAACACTGATGCCAACAGTATTAAGAGTTGAATTACTGACTCTGAATGAGCAGATGACACAATGACAGGGAGGAAAAGTGATTATTTTTTTACTCAACCACCTCCATTACTTTGGGGTTCAGAAAGGGTACTGCTGACTTATTGCTGGAGACCCAGGAAAGAGAGGTGACGGAATGAAGGCAGAGAATGGGGATTGTAAGGGAGACGGAGGAAAGGGAGGAGTGGAGACTAGTATCGAGTAAGCAGAGGTCAGACGGCCGGAAGGAGTGCGCTCCAACAGCCACCTCTCTGCTCACCAAGGGCCAGGCAAGCGGGGCCGGAGCGCACAGGGGCGCGCCCACTGCCGGCCACCAGGGGGCGCGGGCGGAGCCGGCAGAGGGAGGGAGCCGAGGAAAAGGGTTAGCCCGCCTGCAGGGGCGGTGGTGGCGGCGGCGGCGCAGCTCCGCTCCCTGCGCGTTGTCCTCCCCGCGCCCACGCAGGGAGCGCAGCCTTGCAGCCCGGATGCGGCCGCCCGCCCGCTGCTGCCGCGCGCTCCCGGCGCTGCTTTCGGTCCTCAGCTGTTCGTTGGGTAAGTAGCGGCAGCTGCCGAGCGCGCACGGGCGGGGCGCGGGCTTTCTCCGTGAGAAGGGCAACAGGGGCGATCAGCCCGGCTCCAACGTGACCGCCCCCCCCTGCCGTCCGGCTCCTTGCAGCAGCGCCCTCTCGCTGCACCGGTGGATCCGGCTCTGCGGCCCGGGACAATCCGCTCCCCCCGGGCCCGTCGACTGCCCCGTCCCTGCCTCAGCCAGTCAGCCTCCCGTCTTCCGCCTCCTTCAGCCTAGAGCTGGCCGCTGGCGGAGCTGCCAGCGCTAGGCGTCACTCCCACAGGAAACGAGAGTAGCTGTGTGAGGGCAAGAAACTTTGGAAGGAGGGACTCGGGCCGCCCCCCTTGCCGCACCTCTCCGTTTCTCGCAGAATCTCCCCGCACTTTGCGCCTCCTCGGCGTCCTGCACCTCTCTGCCCTTCCTGCCCGTACCGCCCCGGGAGCTGAAAGAAGGCGCCCCTGTGTCTGCTGACTCTTCTGGGGCTCCCCGAGTGGACTGACGGACACGCCCTGGTCCCTGAGGTTACGATACCAACTTGGCACCGGTCCTTCTCACCCCCTGATTCCTTGACGAGGGAGGACCCGTACTCCCGGCCTCCGCGTGGGCGGCCTTGGCTCCAGGAAGGCCCTGCGAAGCGCCCCCGCCCCGCCCCAAATCTTGGGTCTTTATGGAGGAAAAGTAGAGAACACTCCTGGAAACAATGCCTGCTACTGCTGTAAAGCCCTCCCCTTTTTTTCCGTCCATGTTCTCCCTTTTATCATAAAATGATGTTGATGAAAGTTTTCTTTTAAAAAAATCATTGTAATTAACTTTCATGATGAGATTTGTGTAAGTTTGAAAGGTTGGGGGAGAATGATTCTTTTCAGTGGTCTCAGAGTTATTGTCATCTACCCACACTTTTGTGTGTCCAGCCTAAGAGGCAGTAATTTCAGATTCTTAGAAATGGCAGAATGGTGCATTTTAGGAAAGACTCGAGTTGTTTTTTGCACACATGTCACTGTTTGGTAGCCCACCAGAACCTTTGCTGCCCTGTTTTTGAATTTAAGCTCTCCATGCAAGGACCTTATTTTCACACCCCTAGCATTTTTGTAGGTGTTCAGTGTGGGAAAATTGAGTGGGATTAGTTGGTAATTAATTGCCTACACGCATGATTAAGTAAGCAACGGTATAATTAAAAATGCACGGACACCTTGGGCAGAGAAAGAAGGCTGTTAGGAACAGTGGGGAGCTGCTGCATGTGGTGAGGATCTGCTTTAGCGGAAGGAAGTGCTCTGCTGGGGCAGCCCTGGGAGAATGGAGGCTGGAGGGGAGTGGAGAGGTGACTGCTAGCTGCGTTTCTGGGCCAGCTGCCTGGACATTTTGCACCTAACCAAAGTGGGGTAGCTGAAATTGGGATTCTGTTTATAGCCTGGCACTTTATAATGCTATCCTGGGAATATAAGGTTTGTGTATAATATAGTCAACATATAGGCCGAAAGGTGTATTTGTATTGCTGTGTGTACCCATTTTTTATTGCCTTTGGGGAAATATCTGCACCATCCAAAGTTGATACTATGTTAAAAGACACACAGAATGAACTAGAGTGTCAACACACTTTTGGAGATCTATAGGCATTTCGAACTTGTCAGAAAAGCACAGTAAATAAGACATAGAATGTATGAAAAGTTCTCTGAGAACTGGCTTCGTGAATATCTTTCATAGGTTGGTACAGACAGGAAGCTATATTCTTGGAGGTCTGAAATCATGAATTCATTTGAGCTCTGCTTTGATGTTGGGTGGGGGGCAGCGCTCTATAAATCTTGTAATATAGCTGAAACAGAATATGATGGGAGTTCTGAGGCATTTGTACACTCCTGATAGTTTAAAAATACTTTAAATCTTTTCTTATAAGTTTGGCCTGACTGTATATAGTTTATTTTCTCCACAAATTGTAGCGTATTCATTAGAGAAAAATCCATATAGAATATTTATTTTAAACCTTTATGATTATATAGACAAAATTCATAACAATTTTAGTTCTCAAGTCTGGTGCCAGTTCTAGAATCAGAGATTTAGTCACGCTTTTGGGTCAGCCACTGTGTGGTTTCCTGTGGGTTTTCTAGAAAATGAGAGCCATGGATTAGATAAAATACTGGAACTTTGCCATCTCTTCAGTTTTAACATAGTGTTATTAGCAGAGGCTGCTATCTGCCTACCCAATAACTCTTAGTTCCTTCTTTTCTCGATGCAAGAATCTCTGCAATAATCAGGAATGTTATGGACTGAACTGAGTCCCTCAAAATCCCAGTGTGAGTGTATTTGGAGATAGGGCGTTAAGGTTAAATGAAGTTTGGGGGGGTCCTAATAAGTAGGACTGATGTTTTTATAAGAGGAAGAGATACTAGGGATGCATGCAAATGTAGAAAAGGCCATGTGAGGACACAGGTAGAAGATGGTCATCTACTAGGCAAGGAGAAAGCTCTTAGCAGAGACCAGTCCTGCTGACACCTTGATCTTGGATTTCCAGCCTCCAGAGATGTGAAAAAAATTTTCTGTTGTTTAAGTCAACCAGTCTATGGTTTCTGTTATGACAGCTCTAGCAGACTAATAATACAGGGGGTGATGGGAAGGGTGGTGGTAGTGCCAGTGTGTCCAGTGATGAAACCTTTCTCAGTGGCCCTTGTAAACGGGGTAGACAGGGAGCTCTCTGTAGAGATTTTGGGGTGGCTCTTGGTAAAGCTTATTAAAGATGGCTGATGCAGCTGAATACAAACTCCCCTCCCACCCCCCACCATTGTTTCATTCTTCTCATTGCCTATTATGTGAGTTTGATGGCAGGAGCCAGGGTGGCCATATTGTGACCAATTAGGTGACTTTGTTGGAAGGCGGTAATAAGGATGATAGAGCAGAAAGGATAGCAACTACCTGGGTGCTAGACAGATGTGGAGTCCCATGCTAGCCCTCTATCACCTATTACCAGACTTGTATTGCCTGAGATGAAAAATAAACCTCTGTCTCGAGTATCAGTTGTTTGCATTTTTACTAATGCAGCCAAACTTGATCCTAATTGATATATATCTGTAAAGAAGCTTATTCGAACCAATGTTAAAATAATAGACAATTCAGTTTTATCTGTCTTATTCCTGATTCTGTTCTGCATGGGTCAGACTGTATGTCTTTGCACCTGCCAGAATTAGGGATGGTTTTCGTTCTGAGCCAGGTCTTGCTCAGATTCTTTGTGCTACAGTGAGCCAGCCATGTTAAGACACCGATAGTCAGAACTGACTCCAGGTTTTCTTGTGTTTTTTTTTTTTTTTTGAAATTTTTAAACCCTCCTTTTACTTCTTAGGCATTACACAGATATTATTGGCACAGATTTTAACAATCTGGATGGATTTTTTGTTGTCTGGGTAGCTCAGGACGCACAGGTTAGTATGGCCCCTTGGTCGTGAATTTCACCCAAGGGAGGAGTTTGCTTGTAGCCAGTAGTCAAGCTTTTTGGGCCTGAGGCGCAGTGGAATGGGAGGTGGGAAGAGCCTCGGTTTCAAATGGGGATGGGTTGAGGAGGAGATGTTAACCCGTTTGTTAACTTCCTCTTGGGCAAACGTGGGCCTATTCCTTGAGCAAGTCCCAACAACTGATTTCATTCAAAACATGAAGGGCCAGGTTTATACTTCTAATTAGAGATATTATAAAGCAAGGATAATTTCTAGGCACAAAAGGATTACTTAGGAGGGATTTACAAACGTTACACATTTTACCTCCCTGTAGCATTAATGTATTTTTCTGTGTATAATGCACACCCATGTTTTGTGCACATTATATGCAGGATTATTACACCCATTTTTCCCTCAGAAATTTGGTCAAGAAAGTGTGCATTATACATAGCGAAATATGGTATGTGTGATCTATCTTTGGTGTTGTACAGAGTCTTCCTTAGAACAATATGCTAGAACATCAGTTCCATCTCTCCCAATGGAAAGTGTCAGGGATTTATGAGACCCATTATTGATCCAGAGTCTCCCTTATACCCTGTCTCACAGGCGGCAAATATAAGGCCGATGTTCCCAATCCGGCCCTCCACCTTGTTTTATCCGCCCAGCACCCTGTTTCTACCCAGCAGCAGCGCTGAACTCCTTGCCCCTAGTTAAGCAGTAGTTACATCTATACAGTCCTAAAATTATATTTGGCCCTTTGAAGGTAACCACGTGGCCCCCAGTAAAAATGAATTTGACACCCCTGCGCCTCTTTCAAAGCTCTGTTCATTAAGCCACTCCCAAAGGAACCCAGTTCAGTGTGGATGCTGATTTGGACTACTAGAAAAGGTTAACAATGTCAAAATGGTATTAAAATAGTAGGAAAAACTGTACTCACAGTTTCTTTAATTTATTCAGAAAGAGTTGAGTATCTGCTGTGTGTTAATGATTGGGTATATTGCAGAAAGAAGGCAGATGTAGTCTCCCTCCAGCGTCCTGGAGCTCGGAGTCTGGAAGGGAAGGTGGTGTTAAATACTAACTCCACTGGAGACTAATCATAGCTGAGCTCAGCACTGTGGCAGGAGTTCATTCAGGGAGATGTGTGGCTTCAAGCTGGATTCTGAATCAGGGTTCTCAGCAGGGGACAATCTCGCTGCCTCCCCCAACCCCACAACGTTTGTCCTTGTCTGGAGACTTTTTGGTCGGCAGGGAGTGCTACCAGCATGTGGAGCCAGAGGCATTGCCCAACATACTGCAAAGCACAGGACACACCCTCCCCCAAAGAATCGGTGATCTGGTCCAAAGTGTCAGGAGTGACATTGAGAAACCCTGGAGGAGGGGCTCATTAAAGGCTTCCTAGAGGAAGGAACATAAGAGCTCAGATTTGGGGAGAAGCAGAAGTCAGGGGAGGGAAGGAGGGAGTGAGCCAGCAGGCAGGGGAAAACAAGTGCTGGAAGGATGGAGTGATAAGGGGCTGGGCTGGAGACTGGGCTGGGAAGACCAGGAGGGCCTGGTTATATAGGGCCTTG